GCCCCTGCTCCGAGGCTCAGCAGCATGGAAGCTGCAATCATTATCTTTCTCATCAGGATCAGTTTTTTTCTTCTTTATATATCGCAGTTATTTTTTTGGCTTTTCCTGCTTCTATAATTAGGATCAAACCTGTCAGGGTTTGTATTTATCAGTTAGTGAGTTTGCGGATGATCAGGATGCCGTCTCTTACCGGCATCAATACTTTCTCTACGCGGGTATCCGCTTTTATCTTTTCATTAAAGGTGTGAATGGCTTTGGCATTCTTGCTTTGCTCTTCAAATGGCAAGACCACCTCTCCATCAAACAATACATTATCGGCCATGATATAACCACCTACCGGCACCTTATCAAATACAAGGTCATAATACTTGCTGTACCCTACCTTATCCGCATCTATAAACACTAGGTCAAAGGTTTCGTCCAGCGCCGGAATGACGTTGTCGCCCCGGCCAATGTGCTGGGTGATCTGCCCGGCAACGCCTGCTTCCTCCCAGTATCGGTGGCACATATCTGAAAGTTCCTCGTTAATATCTATCGTGTGTAAATGTCCATCCCCGGTCAATCCCTGCGCCAGGCAGATTGCTGAGTAACCGGTATAGGTACCGATCTCCAGTATCCGCCGGGGCCGCATCATTTTACTCATCATACTCAACAGGCTACCCTGTAAATGTCCGCTCAGCATGATGGGCATTTCTACCTTCATATTGGTTTCCCGGTTGAGCCGGGCCAGCACCGGAGATTCCGGCGTGGTCATGCTTTCAGCATAATGGTTCAGCTTAGCAGAAAGTAACTGTATCGTCATAAGTAAAATAGGGCGGGTAAATCTGTTGCGGGCTTAAGCCCGCAACAGATTTACCGTATTTAAAAGTTTGGCTGTAGTTTGTTATGCGAATAAAACTCGCTAAAATAAGCAACAACTTCATCCACTGTATCAAAAATACGAATCATTTCCAGGTCGCCGGGGCTTATATTGCCTTCTGTTTCCAGCATCACCTCCCGC